TCTCGTGTTTTATATTTTCCTCCAAACCATTTTTAATAATTTCCGACCAACGGGATGCAATAGCATCATGTACTGGCTGTCCAAAGGAAGATTTTCGTGTGGGTTCGGATCCTAATATTTGTAAAAGGTCTTCAGTTAGCCCCTGCTCAGAAGGTTCCCCTACAACATTGGCGTCATTGGTCTCGACCTCGGATTCTTCCCTTGGTAGTGCCACTGAAGCGCTGTGTTCTCCATCGCCTGCGTACAACAGGTTTATTAGCCAACAAATAATTAACCTTCATTTCCCTAATGTGTAATAATATTAGTTTTTTAAGTATCGCAATTAGTATGTCACCAAAAACACACTAAAGTTGTTACCAAAAACAACCATCTTCCTATAATATTACACAAATATTGTGTCACCAAAAACACAACAAAGCTGTGCTGCTATCAAAAACAGCCATAAATATACAAAGGAAATTCCTTTGTTTAGTTTTAATGCACAATTCTGTTTAAGTACTGCAAATATAGTGTCACCAAAAACACATTAAAGTTGTTATCAATTCGTATCATAATAATCGACCGCTGGCGATTCTAAAACAATCATTACTTTATATTGCATATAGGTACTTACTTTGATTTTCAAATGTGCTGAGCTCATCGCTTTGTGGAGAGCGACGAGTCGGAGAATTTGTATTTCTTTCCGACTCGGCACTGCTATATGCTCGAAACCTTGCAGTCTCCATTCTATCAATTTTTCTTTTCAAGTCCTTGATGCGTTTATGCAGCCATCTATCCTGGCTAGGGCTTCTGCGCCGCTTACGGCTGTGTTTAGGCATTTCTTTATTAAACAAGCTTCACAATTGTGTATGAACAACTTGACACACAAGCGAAGACTGAGGTGCTGCGTGAGGGAGGCATAGGGGAAGGACGTATGGAGGTAAAGGGTGTTGCCTACTTTAAAGTGTGTGAAACTAGACGATAAGCGGGGGTACTACTCCTTATTTACGAGACGAGGCTGAAATATAATGTTCATTAGCGGTTATGTCTGTTATGCAAATCCCAGGGAAACAATGCGGCGAGTATAACTGCCAGGTATGCAAGAAGAATCGTACGTCTTGCTCGAGCGTGCGAGATATGGGTTGTTTTAATCGGATCTAGATATGCCCCATTCGCGGTTGTCGCGTATGCTGCGTTCGCGGTTAGTTTGTCTTCGAGATAACCTTCGCTAAAATTGTATAAGCCTCCTGAGAGTACCTATAGGTTTGGAAGCCTCTAGGAATTTTCACCGTAGGATTGGACAATCTCTGATTGGTTGGGGCTTTAGAACCGAGGTCTAGACCGAGGAGAGTGTGCTCACAAGAAAGTTTTGAAATTTTTAACAAACTTTCGATTTGTAAAAGTTTTGAAATTATTGAAAAATATTTATTTACAATAAATGAGTATTTGATTTGTAATTGATTGTATATGACGCAATTAGAAAATTTGAGACGTAGTACACGCTCTGGCCACGTATCCATCCCTGGTTATTGAACTGCAAAGCACCAGGGTCGACGTTCAATCACATTCCTCGATGGGTCGGCAGAGATCCTGTAGCGAAGTCTACATTAGATTTGGACTTTTACTTGATAATCAGGTAACTTTTTTATATTTGACTTTAGGAAAAAGTTTAAATAATATCAAAGTTATAGGATCCTTTGAGGGTCTCAAAGGTACACCAAGAAAAATAATTTAACGTTACACAAACGACTTCTAGACATGTAATATTGTTTTTTATTAGAAAATTATATACTTTGTATGCGGAGCGCACATGGCTCCATCTGTCGTGCAGACTCCCAACTGTGCCATTCAAATGGCTACAGTAGAAAGCGACCTGCTATATTGCCAGGTACTTTATTGCACGACTGCCGCCCACAGAGGGTGATCACAATGTCTTTAATTGCCAGTGTTGCGAGAAACAACTACTCCGCGGGCTATATGCCCCGACCGGCATTGAATTATACTTGCAATACCTAGTGCAACAGTTAGGATCGTTCATTAGTTAGTTTAACCCACCAGGCACAGACCGGTTTCGGACTTATCAGTCCTCATCAGTGTGTCATAGGTGAGACAACTGACGAACGATCCAGCCGTTACAATGTACCTCCTTGTCGTAAGGATAATTAAAAAAAATCTATACTGTTTTATATAGTACATGTTTTTAAAATCAGGGAAACCTACAAATTTTAATAATATTTATAAAAGACCATAATTTTCATCTAAAAATAGCATTGTGATGTTCAGTCAATCATTTTTTTTTTAAGAAACTTTTCTGAAGTCAAAAATAAAGAAGCTACCGGAGAGGTTATTTTCGTTGAGAAACTCTGTACATTAATTTTGCTAAAACTTTAATATTCTCACTTGTAAAGCATTACATTATTAAAATTGATATCTCTTTTTGTGTATTCAACGGAGAATACCAATACTTCATTTTTTCACGTAGCTATCTACCTATATACTTATTTGTTTGAGTGGCTTTTGACGCACCCCTGACATCGTCGCCCGGGGTCTTGGTCCCTCGCTCCCTCTCCTCGCCCGTAACGTTACTTTCGTCCTAAACCGAACGTAGTTGGGCAAAATGCGGTTGTTTCTCTTCTCAGGACTAGACTTTCGGTTAATTAATGGTATTACTCCGAAGAAGTTCGGTAATTGATTTAAAACTTGCGACGCTTCCATGATCCATGTCCAGGAAGTTGTAAGAGCCAGGGATTCAGCCCGACGTCAACGCGCGTTATATAAAGTAGGTGGTCAACTATTTATAAATTATACTATATAATAATAATTTCCTTTATATTCGAAGAGTTTGACGTAAATAAACAAATGTTTCCATAATGTTTTAAAAAAATATGAAGAAATATCATGAACAAATTGATTTTACTTAATTTGTATCCTGGAGATACATACTTACAATTAATTATTCTCTTTTCGGCCTGTATTCAAGACCGCATGTTGTCAGGCAACCTTTAGTGCAGGCCGTAGAGTAAAATAAATATTTTTTTATTAGGTACCTTAAAAAAATTGGGTTCCTGGTACAGTCTTTCCGAAGTCAGTTGAACATGCAAAAAAACGTCTGGTAATAAAATTTAATGAGTTTCATAGACGTCCCTAAAAAAATGTTCTGCTAAAGGTAAAAAATTATAATATTTTGTATTATTATGTGTAGAAAATTTCTATTATATGTTCATTTGGCCAACAACATATTTTAATTATTTATGTCCTCAAACAATTTTATTATATTGGTGGTAAATTTCGTTTTGTTCTGTTTCAAAGTCTCCAAAATGCCATGTTGTGATAATATTAGTAAACAAAATATCCTTCTTATTTCTCCCTTTCGCTATTGTTATGAATGATTGATAGAAGGTGTCTATAATAAATCAAAATTACCTGAATCACACCAAATTCCGCATTGCTGCACTGCACTGTTAGGCAATTTATCAACCACTTGCCATCTGCTGTGATTTATTGCCCATTAGCCCAATGCAACTGTGATCGTTTTCCGTTGCCCGCGCTCGCATTCTTCAACTGAGCGTATACATTTCTATCACCTCCACGTTTAGTTCGACCAGACCTGTATATGGGTATGGCTAAATAAATATGGGAAAAAGTTTTTCAAATATTTCAATGCCGAGTTGCTGCGTCAGCAACCGAACCTGGTACATACTATCAATCTGTTGGTTCTTCAATTGATATCGGCAAGCAAAAACAATTTATTTTTCTATGATGTCCCTTTCTAATAAAAAATAAATATATTTCCATTTCACTGGAATGTTTTTAATAACATACAATTTGCTCTTATAGCATCTTTATTACAAACAGATTAATTAATACAACCATTGTTTTTTGTATTTTGTTTTAAATGTAATAAAGATTTTTGAAAAAGTTCCTGATCAGGAATGTCATTGCGTAAAAAAAGTTCTTGGTGCCTATTTAAATACATAAAACCACGACCCCAATTACAAATATAATTTTAGTAAATTCAATAACAATTTTAACTATGAAATCTACCATTAATTTGCTACAATAGCTTAGTTCATATAAAATTCCAAGCATTAATTCGCATCCATTATAGTATTAGTAGTATAATTTATTTAATTTTAGTCCTAGTACCATAATAAATAATCAATGTATGTATGTACAAAAATATGGCATATCATAATGTCTATTATGATATGCCAGCCGATAAACGATCATTACCGAGTATATTAACGGATAGTACCATGTTGGTCGTTGTTATTGGTATTGGACATATTTTTTGTTAATGAGATCATATTAAGTAATACTGACCAACTTACAATTTTTGGTAAATCTAATTCATAAAAAGAAATAGAAAATAACGAAGTGTCTATTTCTTAGCCTGACGGAAAGGACGCCTTACATAATATAGTGCCAAGCAGCCTTCGATACAGGCCAAAGAGTTCAATGTTTTACACAATAATCACACTACTCGATTAAATAACATCTTTCAATCCTACATTCATAGCTTCAGCGCATTTTTAGACAGTTGGTTTAAAACCTTGAATTAAGTATATAAATAGTAGAGGTATTTTCTGTTACAATATGCGGGGACCATTTTAACTAAATAACTATTTCTCATTGGCAAACGAATTTCATCAGCCGAACTAATTAGCTACTAACGACTGCACAATCGCATTAAAATTGATCATAATATCAACTACGCCGTGCCAATTTAAGTTTATTAAATCGGTCAGTTAATGAGTAATTGCCATCGGGTTTTTAATTAAAATTTGTAATCAAATTTTAATCAAATCGACCGAATAAGCTTTCAGGTATTGAAAATATACATTTTCATTATCTATAAATCTCTAGGGGCTTAGATTTCATAAAATTGATTCGTACAGGCTCTGCACTGAAGGTGGGAGTTATCCACACGAATAATAAAACATTATAGAAAATTATTATATTTACTTATTTGTTAGTAAATTTTTCGGATCGTTTTAATTAACATTTCTTTTTTTCTTCAGATATTGTGTGGAATTTGAGGTGTTGAAAGCTTCCAAAGCATGCAGAAAAGAACCAAACTACAAGGCTTTGAAAGAAGGTAATATTTTTAATTCCTGAATTTTATTTTTTAAATTTCATGACTTCAGTTTTTGTGGGTGAGATAAGTATCATGTTAGAATACAACCTGTGAGTCCCTCTCAACTTTAGCAGTTCTCAATAGATTCACACTTTTTTAGATATCAAAATTATTTACATATTCTTTTTTTATTTTTTGCATTATAATAAGATAAGAGTTATTCTCAAAAAAACAAGTTTTTAAACATCCTGTTTCAGTCTAATATTTACTGTGTGAAGTACTCTGACAATTTTTTTTTTCTACAAATAGGCGAACGGGTCTGCGTGCGCTGCGAGGCCGAAGCCTTACACGAAGGTCTGGGTTGGAGATGCCAAGGACACGGAGTGGAGGGTCGGATCACCCGGTGGTCAGCCCTGTCGGCCCGCCACTGTCACGGGAAGTGGCTGAGGGCACAGGCCGAACCAGACAGAACGTGCTCGGCCAGGACATGCAAGAACGAGTCTCAGTTCATCTTCGTTTAGAAAGTGCCCGAATTTTTTCATTTTACGAAAGGTGACCCAAGATCTACATAAGCCATTATAGACTATCAGTTTAGGAGTTTTCTTTTCAATTAGTTTTGCGAGCTTTTTTCCAGTTGTATGTTGAATTTTTTAAATAATTCTTCAAAATTGATGGTCTATGTCAGTTCAGCGAGATCTAAATTAATAAGTTGATAGAAAAAAGTGGCTTCGGTTTGGTTTTTGTTCTTTTTGCTCGATATAGGTCTACTGAACTGTTTGCCAAGGACTTTTAGGAAAATGGTGGATGTTTTCAGTTTAATTTTTGATCAAATATATAGTAAAAAAAGTTTTTCTTAACCAACCAACTGCCAGTTCTGTTTAACATTTCTTTATAATGTTCAAATCGAGATTCCACTTTTCCTAAATCTGCCCCGTTGCATATTTAAAATTTTTTTTGACTTTGATGACTAAAATTTGGGGTTTTACATTTAATTTGACTGATTTTCTAGCTAATTTTGCAATATTTTATGTATTTGTAGTATTTTACTTCATATTGGTAAAGGATGATTCAAATTAAGTATGAAAGACTTCAGTAGGCAGTTGTGCAGAAAAAAATTCATATACATGTGTTCTAGAACATGGCTCAGCTATTAAATTATTTTTTTCCATAATTTGGATCTGTCTCATTTTGTTATTTACTGTCATACTTTTTTCTTTTTTGTTTGATCCAGCTACCAGTGACTATTTGAAATTATAAGTACCTTAAAAAAATGCACCTCTGATTTTTCTTTTTTTTTATGTATGTTATCTTTGTTACTTTCATTTAGTGAAGGTATTCTTTTCTTATGAAATTCAGTCTATCAAAATTGATGAAAAAAAAAATACAGTTCCAAATGACCGTATAACCAATTACAATTAAATAATGTTTTTATGTTATCATTAATAAAATTGTATTTTTCTGTTAAATGAAGCCTTGAATAAGTTGTAGACGGTATCTTTTGTTCAGTACTAAAGAAGGATTGTGAAAAATTAGAAGAACTGGTGGTACGTTTGTAAAGTAATGTGGTTGCAAATTTATGCCAATCATATATCAGAAGTGGGATATTTTAGGACATACGTTTATATGATTTCTTTCTTAAAATGAACTAAGAAATTGGCTCCTGATTTATCTTTGCAGATGTTTTGAGACGCCCTGTACGTCTGTCTTTCCAAAAAGTGCATACCGTCACTTTCGGTTGTTTGTCAAAATTTGCGGTTAGACTGTTTAAATAATAACGTTTAGTATTAAGGTTTTTACTATATATTTTATATGATGTGTTGTGCAATGGTAACCGATTGATTTTTTAACCATCATTAACAAATTTAAAGTGTTTTTTCTTACTAAAAAAATATATATTAACCCTTAATATAGCCTGTATGTTAGATTTACTTGAATATTGTTAATTGTAATCTAGTATTTCATATCTAATATTTTTAATAAATAATGTAAATATACGAAAATATCCTTTTGTAGTAGTACATAACCTATTTTTGTCAGACATATCAGGTTAAAGATATCATGTCATGTTAAATAACAATAAATACCACATACTTGTATGAACTGTTTTATTTCGTCGGTCCTTTCCCGAAATTATTATGATGCTACGGTACCGACACAAAATATTAAAATCATATAGCGATGGTTTATTTGAGCAGGAGGCCTGATCCCAAAAATATTCTCTCGCTATATACCATTGTTTAGGTCTAAAAATTAATCTAGCAAATTTTAGCTTTTATCTAGGTCTAAAAATTATAAAAGTTGACATTATCTAGGTCTAAAATGTAGAAAACAGACTTTAACGTTATCTGAGTGAAAAATTAAAAGTTTGAGATTTTTAGCTTTTATCTAGGTCTAATATGTACATGAAATTTTTATCTAAGTCTAAAACTTATAAAAGTTGGCATTATCTAGGTCTAAAATGTAGAAACTGATCTAAACGCTATTAAAATTTGAAACATTTATTCAAGTAAAATATATTAATTGCCGAAAACAGACCTTAACATTGTTATCTGAGTGAAAAATTAAAAATTTGTGAGATTTTTAGCTTTTATATAGGTCTGATGTGTTCATGTACGGGTACATGAAATTTTTAACTAGGTCTAAAAATTATAAAAGTTGGCATTATCTAGGTCTAAAATGCAAAAATTATCTGTTTATCTAGGTACATTAAAATTAAACATTAAAACATTAAAATCTCATAAAATTTGCAGTTGTGACTATTTTTGCTCTTTTGAAAGAAACATAGAATGTTGATTCCTCTAGAGAGAATGACTGATAAAAAAATCCGTAAGTTATTAGAACAAAACTTGACATTATCTGGTCTAAAATGCAAAATTATTGATTTCCAATTTTTATCTGGATATATGAGGGAAGTAACAATAAAACTACTGTATATTCGAATATAAAAAATATTTTATTATCGACCCTCAAACTACATATCTGACTTAGTAACTATTTTTGGTCTTTGGAAAAATACATAGAAAAAAAAAGTTTATAAATATCACACAGAAAATGATGTAACTTTGGTAGAAGCACTCTCCGCCTCGGCGATTGCCTTCAGCAACTCCTTCCTAGCTTTGGTCCCTAACCAAATCATCAGAGATGCCCCGAACATTAGCTGAAATACAAACAATTTCAAGTTTTCTATAAGATAAAATCGGAAAGCCAGTAGTGTGACTGTAAAGTAACATTCATAAAACCTCAAAAGAAGGAACCTGTCGTTCCTTTAAAAAAATTACCCGATATTAAAATTTGTATGTTACTTTACAAACCCACTGTATATAGGCTCAACAAGAAAAAGTTTTCCACAAAAAAAAAAACTTTATCAAACTCAAAGTCGTGAACGCACTGTATATTCGCTTACAGGGTTCATAGTTCAAAAGTAATGAAGAACTCCCTGACTTTTCCAGGTTTTCCCTGACTTATAAAAATAAAATCCAGGTCACTTGTAGTTCATTTTTACATACTAATTGGTGTTTATGCATTAAATTTTTTCTCGACTAGACTCAATAATCTTTTTTATACCCTAAGAACCTCTTATAAAGGTTTCAAAACCACAAATAGTTTTCTCTTTCAAGAACCCAGGGCCGGCTTTCACAAAATGTCCAGTTGCAAACATCAAATTCCCCGACTCATGAATATTTTTTAAATTCCCTGACTATTCCCTGAGTTTTATGAAGAATAACGAATTCCCTGACTTTTCCCGGTATTCCCGGTTTTCCCGGCCGCTACGAACCCTGGCTTACTATGTGGAAATATATACAGGGTATTTTCTAAATCCCTGCCACTTTTCTTGTTAAAACTTTCGCCCACACTCGATATACCACACAGAATTTTTATTGCTCTTTCCTCTTCGTATAAACAACCAATTATACATATTCGTGAATTTATAAGTACAATTGAATATAAAAAATTTATTGACGCTCACCTGAGCCGTGGCGAAAAAATAAGTCGTGGAAGAAATATGTCTGTTCTCCAGAACGTCCTGCATAGAACGTAGAGTCGATCCAACGTAAACCCCCACAAATTGAGCGGGGAACAGTCCAAATAGCGAGGCTACGTGGTAAACCCTAGCGCTGACATTGCTCAGCTGAAAAAAATGGAGTCGCGATTAGTTTTCCTTTTCCTACATTTAGAAAGAGGCTTTGTGAATTAAAAAACTCTTCAAATGAACTCTAGTAAAGCAATTACTTAGTTTTATGCCATGTTACAACTAGTGCTGGCAAAAATCGGTAAAAAGTGAAACCGGTTAACCGGGTTCCGTAAAAACCAATTTCAGATAAAACCGGTTGGTCGAATAGTTGCTAAAACCGGTTATTCGAATAACCCGTTACTTGAATCGCCAAAACCGGATATCTGAAAATCGGTGCTTTACAAAGACAGAGCCGGAGAAATTGTCTAAAAAAAAAAGTCTACAAAAATCTGGAAGTCAAATTTGTTTACGAAGAAATCGATCTCCAAAAAAAAAAAGGTCAATTGCAATCAGACAAATTGATGTCTAAAAAAAAAGGAAGTAGATAATCGAATAATCGGATATTTGAAGATTCGAATAACCGAATAACCGGTTTTCGGATATTAAGTATCGAATAACCGAATAACATAAATAAATAATAAATTTCATAAAAATCTGAATTATCCGAAACCGGTTAACCGACTATCCAAAAAACCGATTTCAGTTGCCAGCACTACTTACAACTACGATTGTTTAGTTGTGTATCATGTTACCCAGGACTGTGAATTAATTTTGAGTATTTTACAATAGATAGCGTAACTTAGGCTGTATCGCATCGGGCACTTCTGTAACGTCATTCATGTCAAACCTCTGTCTATAGGCTTTACTCTTTATTATGTGTCATTTTGCCGAAGTGTAAACAACATATTTTTTTCTCAACTCCGAAGATGTTGAATTATGAGAATTGCAGGAAGCTTTACTTTTCCTGTTTAAGTAATTTAAAGAGAGGTGCTGCTGAAAGTCGGGCGCTGTTGGACACTTAGGGTGAACATACTCCATTGATAAAAACATGTAAATATACAGGTTCGGAAAGTCCCCATCGTACATCAGCTGTTACGTGAGAGCGATAAAGTAAGTCATAGAAATCCGTGTGATAGACAAGGATGGTTACATTGAAGACGTTTCATAATCTGAATAGTCACTCCCACCTCTAACCCGAAACGGGCGGTGACTATTCAGATTATGAAACGTCTTCACTATAGCCATCCTTGTTTATCGCACGGATTTCTTTACTTTACTTTGTCGCTCTCATGTAAAGGCAGATGGACCATGTGGATTTTCCAGCCCTGTATTGGTTTCGATGTTCTAGAAATGGTAAATTCAATACAGTTGACAAAGAACGCCCTAGATAATCGAAAGAGTTCGATGAGGAATTGGAAGCATTACTTGACCAAGATTCATGTCAAAAGCAAGATGGACGATTCAAAAGCAAGGAAATTGGGTGCCATATTAATTGAAGCCAATAGATGTCGAATGGCGATTTTTCACGTGGGAGCAATTGTTTCAATGGCATAAAAGAAAGGGTTTCTTGCATCGTATCATTAGTCGAGGAAATAAAGCACTAAAAAGGGCCTTACCTCCGAAATCTGTGCAGGAAGGTGGATGCAGTCTTTTCCATTCAATTCGTTAGAGCATCCAGAAAGTTTGTGACCTATGTGATCAATGAGAAATGAAAATGCATCGGTGCATAAGAGAAATGCAATTTTAAAATTGCACCTCGAAGAGTTAAAAAATGAAAAATTTATAACTTGGAAAATATTGACGGAAATGAGTTCAATTTTGCTACTTGGGCGTTTTTGGGGTCTCTGAACACGAATATCGCGACGGCAATGGTCTCCGAAGTACCTAGTGCCCAGGATGGCCGGTTTCCATATCGTCTCCTGGAGTTTTGTGGAAATTCATTATAAACTTAGCTAAAACTCCTTATACGAAACATTTTTTTTTTTTTATTATTTAGCGCTTTTAATACAGTTGGTAGCATTGATGAAATTTTAGGTAAGAACTACGATCGCTGGCCGCTGCTTTCACGTTTTACTCTTACATATAATACTAATATATACTCTTACACATACTAATATATACGGATACGCTTCAAGTTATAGGGCACACGTGAAATAAGAAAAATTAAAATTGTAAAGATATCTAAGTATATTTTTTTGAAAACATGTATTTTTTGTAATGAAAAAATGTATTTTTATAATAAAAAATAATTAAGAATAAAATAATTGTCACAGAAACCAGCCATCCTGGGTACTACTTACCTCGAGGACTTTTACCGTCATGATATTCGTGTTGAATAACCTCAAAAACCCTGGGGTAACGAGTTTCGGCTAAGTTTATAATGAATTTTCACAAAACTCCAGGAGATGTGGAAACTGGCCACTAGGTACCTCGGAGATCGTTGCCGTCGTGATATTCGTGTTTAGCAACCCCAAAAACCCCCGAGTAGCAAAATTGAACTCGTTTCCGTCAATATTTTTCGAGTTATAAATTTTTCATATTTTAATTCTTCGAGATGCAATTTTAAAAATGCATTTTTCTTATGCACCGGCGCAATTTTCATTTCTCATTGATCACGTAGGGTCACAAACTCTGGACGCTCTAGCGAATCGAATGCAAAAAACCGCATCACGATCCATCTTACTGCACAGATTTCGGAGATTCAGTGTTTCATTTCCTCAACTACATCAATGGCAAATAAAAATAGTTACACTATGATAATCCTAAGCGTAAAAAATCGTAGGGTTTGCCTGGTCATGCATCAAGATCGACAGTAAGGACAAATATTCATCGTTCGAATTTGGTGCAACCAGCTTGGTGTTGTATACTATGAGCTGCTTCAACTGAATGAAACCATCACTGGTAACACTACCAAACACAATTAATGTTGATAAATTGTGCATTAAAGGAAAAACGGCCGCAATTCGACAAAGGCACGATAAGGTAATTTTTCAACATGACAACGCTCGAGTACATGTTGCTCATAAAGTCAAAAAATACATAGAAATGATGATGGGATGTTTTACCCCACCCGCTATATTCACCAGATATTGCTTCATAAAAATCCCTCAAAATTATTTCACAGTTCTAGTATAAACTGTGGTTCAATACAAATTAATTTTCTCTTTGGAAATTTTCATGTACTATGTACAAATTCATATAATTACAATCAGAAAATTACAAAAAAAAAAATAATTATAACACTAATTTTTTAAATCTAAGAATTTAATTCATTCAAAGCAAGCAACACCACAACAAAATAAGAAAATGCTTTTTTTATTATAAATTTACATTAAAGATGTGACAAAAATTACTTTTTAACACTACTTAACCTTAACGAGTCTACAATTTAAATACAAAATAAAATAAAACTATACTCCGAAGTATAGGCAACCAGTTATACAGTTGTGAATTTATGGTTGCCGCATTACAACAATTTACATAACTTATAGCATGCTGCAACCTTCTCTCAACGCAGTTGTATAACAAGTTGCATGCATCCAAAATTTTAAATTAAAATATGGGTGTATCCGTTTTTTGTAGCAGGACTCTCACAACTTGTACTAAAAGTCCTTTAAAAAAAAGTTCATGTTCAAAATGAGAATTGATTTTTTATTCGTAAAACGAAAACCCCATTTTAGACTTTGCTGAAACTTGGCAACTTTGTTTGTAATAATAATAATACTCATTTTCTCACATAATTTAATTTGTCCTATTTTCTCCAGTGGCGTCACAAGATACCAGCTTGATAAAAATAGAAAAAAATTTTGGTACGCCACTGCTTTTTGGCAAGTTTGAAATGTTTCTCAGATTTAGCTATCAAAAATACAACTTTTTTGGTATTTACTTTTTTCCTATCTCGCTTTGTTTAGACAGAAATAAAACTTTTCGTTTCACACAGTTTATTGTAAGATAATAATAAAAATAAACAACACGGTATGGAAAAACAACTTATTGTATAAATAGACCTCAAAGGAGCTGTTTCAAATGCCCGCCATTTCGTTCTACACACAAATTACAGCGACGTATCAAAGACTGCCTAACGTCTCTCAAATGATGTGGAGTTATTCCGAGAGCAGCGTTCCGGATTCGTCATACAAGTTCCTCTTGCGAATTAACAGGCGTAGAATAAACTGCATCATTAATAAACCCCAAACAAAAAAATCCAAAGGTGTTAGATCAGGTGATCGCGGAGGCCACCCAACTGGACCTCTACGATCCACCCATCTCTGTGGATACTCTGTATTCAGCCAGTTTCGTACCACCAAAGAGTACTGGGAAGGGCATCTATATAATTGAAAAAACGTGTATATTCTTTGTTGAAAAGGAACATCATCTAGCATGTTATCATGCTGGGTAGTTAAAAATTCAATAAATAATTGACCGCTTAATCTATTGGGCAGGATGTAAGGCCCCAACAAAAAATCCTTGGCAACTCAAAAACAGACATATTCACGGCACACTTTGTAACAAGTAAATAAATAAATTAAGCAAATCTCGAACCTATTCATGAAAATGTTTTAATTCTGACTAAACAAAGCGAGATAGGAAAAAAAGTAAATAACAAAAAAGTTGTATTTTTGATAGCTAAATCTGAGAAAAATTTCAAACTTACCAAAAAGCAGTGGCGTACCATATTTTTTTCTATTTTTATCAAGCTGGTATCTTGTTGTGACGCCACTGGAGAAAATAGGACAAATTAAATTATGTGAGAAAATGAGTATTATTATTACANATTATATTATTATAGGGTGGCTCAAATAACGAAGATAATTTATTGATGAACCTATTTACCACAAATACATCTTCTTCAAAATCTAAATGACCCCTCTTCGATGGAATCTGCCTCGAAATAACCCTTCTTTGCGGAAATCTGCCGCGAACCCCTACCTTTTTTTACATCTTCTTTAAAGGACCCCTCCTAGCGGGAATCTGCCCGGAACATCTTCTTTTTTTACTTCTTCTTCAAAATCTAAAACCCCTCTTCGCGGGAAAATGACACATCTTCGAGGGAATCTGCCCTGAACATCTTCTTCACCCCTAAATTATGCAAATTGAGCTGGATCTCCTTTTGCTTATCTACTTATCTATAAAATTCCAATTTATGATTGTATTTAAACAATATTGCATTAGCTTTCACAAATTGACAACTGTTAAATTTCTACAACATCCAAAATTTGAGGAAATAAGGGAAAACACTTAATACAACACTATAAAACAGACTTGCATAACAACAAGAATTTAATTTGTAAATAAACTTTAACTGAAACGGTATAAAACCTATCCTGACACACTTACCGCAAAAATAGTATTCTGTAACCCAAACGGGATAGGCGTCAGTCTCGAGCAGAAGACGATCTTGAAGCAGAGTGGACCCGATATAACCTTCATGATCGCTTGGGCCATGTCATTCTTAGTGTACTTGTAAATGGCGTGGTGGTGCCCTGCCAGCCTGAGTATATTGTGCGCCATGAGCAGCCCGAAATTAGCCCCCACCACCACCAGCAGCAGTCCACGCAACATCCCGAACAGATAACCGGACGCCACGACTAACACTATGTAACCGATACTGATTGGAAGCGAGACGAGTATGAAGAGGAAGCAAATCGTCGCCGAGATCACTAAACCGTCCTGCTTCTCCAGCCATAACAGGACGAACTTTATGTACGCCTTGCACAGCAGCAGGATGCACAGGATCACGAATAGGGTGCAGATGAGGGCCAACAGTCGGCACAGAGACAGAAAGCATATCGTTGAGCGAAGTGCTCCACATTTTTCCCTTGGTTGGTCTAACTTGTTGTTGTAGTCCTCGATAGTTATCTTCATGACTTGCGATATTCTCCCTTTTCCCTACTTCATTGTCGGTCAGTCTTGGCACACGGGTGGAAATCGTTTCAACATAACCTATAATGAAATTTTTGTAAATGTTTCGAAGTTTTTTGTCAGCAGAAGCTTGAGGTGTACCAATGCTCAAGTTTCTTTGTTCACAATGAGAAATAGGGCGAAATACCGTTGCAATCAACCTACATTTTTGCTATGTAAATACCGTAGTGTTTCTAAACTGTCAAACACAGAACATCAATAACATCAACATCTACTACAAGAAGGGAGTAACTTCATTCAAAACAATAGAGAGAAAGCGATTGTAGCGTAACTGGTTGTCAGGCGTAGAACTACGTTCAGCGCGAAATTTTCAAAATGATAGGAGGAATTATCTTTTTACCCTAATTTTACATATTTTTTATACACAATATGCGTTCATGTTTGTTGCAAGAAATATTTGTATATTTTAACTCATAATACACAGTTTAGTATTAGTTTTGATATAACATCTAAGGACATTTAGATAAATCATATTTTTTTCTAAAAAGATTATTAAATATGCGCTCAAATAAACATTTAAGTACTACTGTCCTTAGGCAAACGGATTATATATTTTTTTATCAGAATTGATGTTTCAACTTCAACTTATAAGTGTGTATTTGTGTATGTGTGTATCATGTGGAACATGGTGTTTATGCACATGTGGCGAGCAAGACTGACGAAATCATGATATAATCCAGAGTTGTTGTTGTAATTCCTTGATGACGTCATACGCAGACAGGACGAAATTAAGCCGGCAGGGAGTATGCCATACTACAGAGTATTTATTAAGTACTTGTACAAACTTTAAACAGTGAATCTTTACCTAATTTTAAGCTAAAAAGTTCTTATGAACATGGGTTCGCAAAGGCTTGATTCTTGAAATTCAAAAAAATATTTGTATGGTATTTTGAGTATATTTTTATTCAATAACATGGCAATTTGAGAAATTCGGGGAATTGGGAGTATTGATGATGAGAAACACAAATATTTACTTAGTTTTTTGTTTAATGTCACAGGGCGCCACATACAATGTTGTACCTGGATTTAAGTAACTATAACTTTTGTATAAAAAGTTTTTCTTTAAAGTTCTTCCCTAGAAAAATATTGGAATGCGTTATTTAAAATGAGACACGCTGTATAAACCAGTAATTACTAATATTTGGAAAATGTAATTCTAAAAATTACTACGTTTTGGATTCAAAATTTCGCTAATGGCGTCATAACGCGTATTTCAATTTTTTTTAAGGACTTAAATGAATTCTACATAAAAAAATAGATATAGAGGTCCCATATTTTTTAACTCATTTTCAGTTTGTAACGTTAGTTAATAATAATTTTATGTAATGTTAAAATTTGATATAAGTTAAAAGTATAATAAGCTATTAAATTTAATATGTAAGCATTATCGTGTCTTATTCAATAAACTTAGAAACTTAGGCAATTACAGAAATTATCATAAATAATTTGAGGAAATGGCCATAGGTATATATTCAGGTGAACAGAATTATTTATTCTAGTTTCTTCATTCAAGAGAAAACAGTTGCCTCTCAACAAAAAACAAATGAATTTCAAAGCCCTCTTGTTCCCAGAGAATTATTTTCGGTGGTTACTGGGATTTTTCAAATTATTTGGCCTCTACCCGCCAAAGCAACATAAATATAAAATTGTTTATTACATTTTTTCACTAATTCACGTAACTCTAACGATGATTTCTATAATTTTAGAGCTTTTAAACGTGCTTTTAAGCCAGGATACCCTCCAGAGGAGGATGTTAAACCTGGGGGTGACATTCATGCATATCACCGCCGGTTTCAGGGTATTGAAATGGATTTGGACTAAGAATAGATTCGAAGAAGTCATAAGCATCATACAGAGGCCTAGTTTTGAGTTCACAGTTTATATTTACAACGGTGGGAGTAAGACAACTAAACCAAATAGGTAGATAAAGTATTCCATGTCGTAATACACAAAGTGACCTTCTTTTATAAGTTTTATACTAATATTTCTCTTACTGCTATTTGTAAACAAATAATATATTACAAACAAAGCCTTAAGTGTGTAGTAAGACATGTGGAATGAGCTCATTCAGTAATATTTAATATACAGGGTGTAAATAATTAAATCTTTAAGCGGTTGTATTTTCACATGGGATATTTTTCCACAGGGAATCACCCCCCGACATTTTTTCGCACTCATTTATTTACACCCTGTATAACTTATCTTTACACTTTCCACGAGCACTTAACACCCTAGGAAAAAAATCAAGTGGATAACTTTAATATTAACCGCCACAAATATTTTCTAATTCGTAAAATATTTGAAACGGTTCGCAGAACATTTGTGACGTCACACCACTCGACTTGTTCGACGCGACGACTCTATGTGTTATTGGTTATTGTGACAAGTTACTCATTTGTAGTACAGTGTAAGGTTTTTCCTTGTGTATTGCGAAAAAAAAAAAATATTAAAGAAATCTTTGTGCCAAAAGGATCAGTTAAGGGTTATTTGGGGTAAATTTAAAAATAATTCAAACATTTACCACATCTCATTCTTGCATTATAAATAGAACATAATAAATAATAAATGATTTTTTTGGGCATATCATCACCAAATATTTCATTTTAACTTATATGCGAACGTATAACATAACAAATGGTACAACAAAAAGTACTATCTTAAAAAAATCTCCTGAAATATCTTCTGATAAATAACAATTTATATATACAGAGTGATTCAGAACTTATCCAAAAAAAAAATCTAGATGTACAGGGGACCCTTACAAATACAATTTTGTAAAGAAAAAATCAAAAAGGACAGTTCGAAAATGATTTAAAAATACACTTCTGCACGGCACTGGAAACTGGTCCACTGTAAAACCTGACCTCGCACAATGCGACCGGCATGGCGGTGTGATAAAAACGGACAAAAACTTTCGCAAGGAAAGAAATATGTAAATAGAATTTTATCGCACCTATTTTATATCGGCAAATTCAACTGCTTTTGCCTTTATTAATTAATAAAATTAATTTGTGTTTTTAAATAATAAAATCATTTGACATACCC